AATGCAATTATTGAATCATTAATCTAAAAATTACTTTCTGATTGTTAAGGAGGGTAGGTCACCATGTTCCTGAAGAAGTTAAATGAAGCTATGGACACTGACGCAAACATGATGGATATGTGGCCACTCTTCATTTCTCTTTCATTGTTTTGAGTCAACTTCATTTTAACTTTTGTAGAATACCCCTTCAAATATTATGGTTCATATTTTATGACTATTGCCAAAATTAAGAAAGTGGCATAAATAGTTGGCCGTGTGTTTGAAGTGGTCAACCCTTTAGACATAAAGAAGTTCTCTCTACCAGGTGTTCAGATTTAAAGAAAGTACTAGCTTGACAGGGTTGTGCTCATTACACTTGTTTTCAGCTGCAGCATTTGGTTAAATATACACCAACAGAATAGCAAACAGAAGCCAACGCTTCCGTGAAGAATCTATGCCGCTGCACCTAGGAAGACAGTGCCTAAATAGCTTAGCTGGCATCTACCCTGGAAACATTTCAATAACCATAGAACTTATTTTGACACATTCAAGTACTGATGCCAGTACCTGCTTTTATCATGCTGAATGTGCACCATATTGGCTGGCCCGGGAGCTGGGAGAGGATGTATAAGAGAAGGCTAAGACTGTACACAAGAGTAAATTTTTGGCTGGGCACTCCTAGACAATGAGTTAGTAATGATTAAGATATGCCAGCTGGCTTTTACTCTGGTTTAATGTTCTACTATACTGAAATAATTAGAAAACATAAAGGCTTACAACTTTGCAGACAGAAGGCCTTTGGAGAGAACTTAGTACATTCTACTTCTCATATTTACATTGATTTTTGTTTTGTTTTGTTTTTGTATGATCTCTGATAACATCCCTAGTCCAGTAAATTCTCTCCTTGAGTCAAGAGGGAAATGAGAATTGGGGACAAAAAATACTAGTCCCGAATTTTTTTCCCCTAAATCTCATATGCTACCCACCAAATACTTAAAACTTAACTTCCTTAGCCCCTCAACGAACAGTTTAATAATTACCATTCTGACACCTCTTAGGTCTTTGAATATTTAATTATTGGGCATATTCCCTGATCAATCAAAACCAGCATCTTGACACATGAGCACAAGACAGAGGCAAATGTCACATTTCAAATGGGAAAAGCTACCCACAAAGCATCTTCAGCACACATTCATACAATCTCACTCAGCAGTTCTGTAATTCTCCACAAGCCCCCATATCCCATACTCCCTGTGAAGACAGAATGGCAGAGTAAAAAATGCCTTGGGTCCATCACTTATAAGTATGTGACTTTATTCAAGTATCTTAATCTCTTTGGGTTAATTTCCTTATCCATAAAAAACTAATAATGGCTACCTTGATGAGTTATTATGAATATTAAATAAGATGACCCCTACCAATATATAGTGAATCTTATCATCATTATTATTAGCAGTATTACCAGTATCCTTACTACATGCCACTTAATTTCCTTATAGTGTCTTATCTGTAGGAAGTGCTGGGTGGGTAAAATTGTTAATCAATGCTATCCTTCCTACCCCACAGTACTGGAAATTTCTATTATCTGGGGACAAGTGAGACAGAACACAGGCTACCCATTTATAATCCACCAAGACAACATTCAAAACTTATCAAGCAATCAAAACAACTATAAAATATAGCAGACATTCACATTATAGTATCAAGTAGTGATTGTCAAATAAGGTAGATGGCAGCATGAACTGTTATGATTCTAAACACTTAAATTGTTTTTACTGTGTGGTAGGCACTGTTTCAAGTGCTTTATCCAAATTCACTTATTCCTCACAGCAACCCTATGAGGTAGATACAACCATTCATCCTGTTTTAACACATGAGGAAACATGCAGAAGTAACTTAGTGATGGTTCACAGCTAAATAAGGGGTACCTTGGGGTTGGAACCTAGGCTGCCTGGCTCCAGAGCCTGCCTTATGACACAACTACCTCTTTATCAAAGACACCAATGATGGGTCAGTATTTTCTGTCCTAGACATTCTTTAGGACCATAGAAAATAATATGTGCACAGGTGATTTTATTTTCATTTTCAATGTTGATAGCTCCTGAAATATTAATATTTGTGCTAGTAAAAGTTAAGGGACTCTGGTCTGGTGTTTACCCTCAGCAGATACTTCCTGCCCAGTCAGGCTGTCTCTGAAGATGATATATAAAGGCCCAATTACAGTGTGAGCACTAAGTGAGATCATGAGCATTAAGGACACAACAGAGTGCTTGGTACTGTGCAATAGAACAATATATGTTTTCTTTAAAAAAAATTAAAACATCAAAGAAATCCAGTAAGAAAAAAATAAATCTCCCCTATGTTAAAGAACTATGGGAAAGAGTAACTAGTATCTATTAAGTATGTTTGTAGTAAGTGCTCCAAATGCCCTATAATGAGTATTGCACATATATCTAAATCCTCACTAGTTTATGAAGGAGAGATGTATTATCACAATTCTAGGGACAGAGAAAAAAAATGACAGATTTGGGTTTTAAACCCAACCTGTTGTAGTCCAAAGCTTACATTTGTTATTTTCTCACTTTTATTTTTTCATCCATGTTTAATTTGTCCAATGCTTGTAACGTGCAGTTATTTTGTAATTGAACCCTCAGAACTCTATGAAGCAGCTGGTGCCAGGACACCTGCTAAGTGCCTTGTGGAGACCACACACTGCACCAGCATTCACCCTCCTGTGAGAGTTTCCTGAGTAGGGTTCCAGTACCTACTCAAGTAAATCTACAATTAAAGGTGCTGCAGTGGGTGGGAAGTGTTCTATGGAAAATATCCCCACATTCATGGCCACTGAGGACACTAAGACACCCTACCAGTCCTCTAACAGGATGGAAAGGTGGCAAGAGAAGCTGGCACTCACCCAGTTCCTTCTCACCAGCATCCTTTGAGCTATTTTATGATAAGGGATATTATACCAATGGCTTCAAGTCCACCAAGCAGAAATAGCAAAGGGAGATTGACATCTATTGTGAGGACTATACCTCCATTCCAAAGTACTTCTGATCAGTTTCCTTCTTATCTCCCTACTAAATTGTTTTGTTATTCACAACCAACAGAAAAAGAATAGAAAAATATATTTAAATTAATGTTATTATAATTTTATTATTTAAAAGTATGGCTAATATGTAAAAGACTTATTAACAGCTATAAAAATGTAAAATTCCTGTGTTCCAGACTTCATATAGTGTAGAATATTATAGATAGAAAGATTATGAAAACAAAAAATTGCGTTCAGGAAAATAAATGATGTAGGTAGAATTTAACAATGAGCTAATAAACTAAGCATATAATACTATCCATTTTAGTGCATTTAAACCACTTGCATTTTGCTCATCTTCACTAAAAGGCAAATTATTCTAAGGCTTTCATATTCATTCAGCCATGATTTTTATTTGTTTTATTTTAAGCTCCCAGTCCATTTCATTTTAACACCTAGATATGATTTTAATTCAATTACACAGCATTAACCAAGAAGCCCAAGAATATCATCCAAAGTGAAATTCTATCCAGATTCACATTTGCTCTTTACCTGCCTGATTTCAGAAAGAGAAATTTGATGGGGCCCCAAAGGATGGGATTGACTGCCCATATCCCCTCAAGCAATATCCCCTATTACCTTGTATCGGTGAGATAAAAATGAAAGTTTATATGATTCTTTTCTCAGTACATCCTGATATATTACTGTCTAATATTTTCTTAGAAATGATACCTAAGAGCTATTCTCATGAACCATGATCAAAATGTAATGTGAACAAAAATACCCAAGGAATGAATTGCAATTACCAAATACAGTCCTGGCTGGAACTGATTCCTTATTTATCCAGAATGAAACTTGAGAAAGAATCACTGTCATAATGCATGGAATGTATGTCTGAATCATAAAATAACCCATCTTCCGTCTGAGATGGAAATAAACCGTCATAACAATATATTCACCTGCAAATAAAACATGAGGAAAATGTGTTATTGGTTCTCAGGCTATTATTCAATGGCTTCACAATCATATTTCAGACTAATAAACAATATTCTAGGCAAAGAAATTATCTGTTGTGTAAGCAAGCAAACCAAGAAATGTAGTCCCTAACTAGGGGGGAAATGATGCTGAATATCATTACATAGAAAAATACTTTTGTTACACACAGTGATTAAGCAATTTAATAAAGTAAGCTATAATGTTAAAAAAGTTCTTGCTGTTCTTTCTATGTTAAAGGTCTAGTAGCCTTCACTTTCAACTTTGTTCAAGTGCAGAATTTAGACCTAAGCTTCGAAATTCATTAGAAAAAAATGTAAATACACACACACAGATATATAAAGCTTAATTTTAGAAGGAATTGAAATAAACTGATATACATATATTACATACACATATGCTTAGGAAAAGGCTGCCTTACTCCCTTAGTTTTAAGAAAGAACTGTATTTCTAAGTGTTATATATATGAAGAAAAATACAAACAGACACATATAATATAGATCCATATATAACATCTCTGATTTCAACCATGTTTTATTAGCACTTACACAGAAACCTAAAAAACTAATAATAAACAAACCATAAGATTTCTGGTAGTTGTTGATAAATATTTTTAATATTATATCTGACAGGAACATATTAAAAAGTTACTTATGAAATAGTAGGCTTGTTTTCAGAGTATAAAGCCCAAGATTCAGAAACCTCAAATCCTCCCAAACATGTTTTCAATAACACTTCCAAGCTAGAAAATAACACACTTGGTAATAAGTGTATGTTAGGAATAGTTTTAGAACATTCAACAATCAGGTGATTTTTCCCACTAAATTGATAAAAACTAATTCCCATGATTCTTTCCATTCACATTCCAAAAGCAAGTATGTACCAAGAATCATCAATAATAATCACCCATCTACATGTGTGACACCTTTAATGAATATATCCTTTATATATTTTATAATTAAGCTTTTATTTTGTTGTTACTTTTGAAAAGAAGGTGAGGGCAGGACCACAAAATCAGGTAAGATATAAAAAATTTTGGTTGTTCCCCGAAAACATTAGAAATTTCGATAAAAAAGCTAGGATGAAACTCCATTGTTAATGCCAATACTGACTTTAATCATCAAACATCTCACCCGTAATGGATTTGATAGTTTCGCTTGATACAGTTTGACCAACCAAGTCATACTGAACTAAGCTGGAAGATTCCTTTGGAACCTCCACTGATTTCTCAGGGCCTTTTGTCCAGGTATAAATCATCTCACTCTTTGGATACGCATCTGAAGGAGAGCACAGAGTGTGGTTAGCCAGTATTCCTTTTTCTTCAGCCTTGGTGGTCAACACTTAAACATATTACACATAAGAAAAATGGAAAAAATGTAATCAATAATCATTATGATTTATTCAAGCATGTTTAAGATACAGAAAATGGTAGAGATTAAATAAGTAGCTCTGCAACTGGGCATATTTCTTTTTTTTATGCCTAAGAAATAGAAGAGAGAAAACTAAGGCAGATAACATGCTATATTTGCATCAATGCAGTAGCATATATTTCCATATCAACAGGATAAGTAGTTGAAAAGCAGTAGTGAACCCCCAAAAGTACTGTCAAGCTGCTACTTTGTTCCATTCTAACTCAATTCCATTTCTTGACCAATACTGACCAACTTCTTCTATCCAAACCAGCTCCATCAATTAGAAATATACCAGATGCTGTCTCTGATAACAAAACAAGAGCAAAAACAAATGATACTGTTGGGAGAGCTCTCCAGGGGTCACCTATTCCAGACTCTGCCTCTGAGCAATATCTATGCTGTTTGAGGACCATTCTGCATTGACAACTGGCTATGCTATTTGGAAAGCTCTCCAGGGAATATAATTACACAACCAGTTCCACTACCTTTAAACTCCTAAAATCAGGGAATTTTCCCTTCCAGCTTCAACAAATCCCTCCAAGCACAATTTAAGTCCATTTTCTATTCAATGCAAATGGAGAACAGCCGCTTGCTTACCAGTCTACCCATAACAGACAGATGAGCTTACACACAAGTTCAAAAGACCCAAGATGAATGGGTTCCCTCCACAAACCCTCCTAAATGGCTAGAACACAGTAGGTCCTTGGTAAAATCAATACAAGTAGTTGATACCTAGGGAGACAATCTTTACAGACAACTTTGCAGAACAAACTATGAGACTTGTGTTATCATTTAACAGTAGGTATGTGTCAATGTTGATCCCCTGAAGTATATTCATGTTTCATCTACATTTAAATCCCTAGAATACTATATTCCTGCACATAATATTTTTAAAATCAGTATCCTTTTCTTTGCTATTCTACCTTGCTAAAAACCTTCTACTTAATGATTCAATTTTTGAGGCTGGGGTAGGGGTTTGTCAAAAATAGGTAAAGGCGATCAAAAGACATGCCCCTCTTTTTAATTCTCAACTCAAAAATGGTAACTTCAAAGGAGAAAATTCTTTATTTTGTACAAACCTTGACTGAGCACCAACTATGTTCGAGTCACACTGAAGAGTGTTTTCTAGAGGGAGGTGGGTGGGAAAGGACTTCCCCTAGAAAAGAACTACCTTGGGTGGAATTTAAATTATTACAGTACAAATGAATTTTAATTTGTAAAGAGTTAGTGAGATCAACCTTTCTATGTATTTTTCTGTGTTTATCTTCTCCCATTATGTCACTGGTCAGGGAACAAATGATTCTCTCCAGCTTCAAGTTAGCCCACTGAATACAGTGATTACTAGGGTTTATAAATAGAATAGTGACTGCCAATTCTCATTAAGTTAAGCAATGAGCAATGATAACAGCAGGCAACAGTTTCACAATTAGTGCACTAAGAATCTGAAGCAATAGTAAAAGCCAGCATCTATTTTTGGTAGATTCTGATTGAATCAGATATTTGAAGTTAGACATTGGAAGAGGCAATCATGTTTTGCTGCCATCTCAAAGAAGGGAGCTTAAGGTTAAGAAATTCCATATTCTTTCCTACCCATTCTTTTATCCTCTTGCATTCACCTTTACAAAATACCCCAAATCCACTGATCTCACACCTTCTCCTCTACCATCCTAGCCTAAGCCACCATCTTTGACTATACTAAACCAATAGCCTCAAACTTTTCCCTGCTTCCAGTCTAGCCTCTCTGCAATCTATTCTCCATGGAAAAGTTGAAGTGAAATTGTGAAATGTCACAAAGAATCCCACATCCCTCAGAAACCTTCTAAAGGTTTCTTACAGCATTTAGAATACAATGTAAGTTTTTTAATGTTGTCTATAAGGCACTGTATTATCTGGCTCAGTCTACATATCAGACCACACCTCCTTCAATGCTCTTGTCATGTTTCAGCCACTTTGATAATAATGGTTCTGCTTATGATATTCTAATCTACGTCATGTCAAGAAAACTTTTTTCTGGTCTGCCATAAAGGACTACTTATAACAGAATCTGTTAAGTTACAAAAACATTAAAAAAAATTATACTTTCCCTGTTAAACCACCAACACATGGACTTCAGAGATCCCTAAATTTGACCACTCACCACCAACCTATTACTTGAGTCAGTCTACTTAAGCTATCTATAAATACAGGTTTTTGGTCTTTGGGGGAAAGGTTTGTTTGTTTGTTTACTTCTTTATTTAAATATACTAGATAATAAACATTCTTCTAAAAGTCATATCTTGAATACTTGTCATAGGCATTGAATGATTTAAATGTTGGATTATGGAAAAAATCATGCACATATACAGACATCAGCTTCATGATAAAATCATAAATTCTAACAACATTTTTATTATAACTTACAACTTCCAAATTTCAAAGGGCATGCATGACCATCCATGGGGAAATCCACCAGTCTCATGGGACACTCTGCACTTATGGTTAGTCTGTGATGGAAAAATGCAATTAAAATAAACTCTTTCTTTAAAAGTAATTTTATAGATCCCTCAAATGGAAAGAAAACAGGTAGGAAGGAAATATGGGAGGAAGGAAAAAAAAGAAAAAAGATAAAAAAGAAAAAAATGACTACCTCATTGTGTATAAAATAGTGCCATTTCTCATAATTCTAAAAAGCTTATTAGGAGCTGTCATATTATGTGAGACAGATTTCTTTCCATTCCTGAAGAAAGTATCAGGGGTCCAAACTTTCGTTACCATCATGTTGTTCAATCTCAAAATTTCAATGGGGCCATCATATTTTAGTCTTTTGTCAATCCATGTCTGTCTGAAGAACACATCCATTGTGTACTCCTAGGGAAATTAGTTTGTGACATATTCAAATCACAGATGACTACACATATATATGCAGGAAAAAAATACATTAAACTTAGTTCCCTTCCCACTCATAAGAAAGACTATCCTAAATAAAAATTAGATTAATAAGAGCAGTGATTTTCTTAAATCAATGGAACAAAAAGATTCTAGCAATTACAGCATGTTATGTCCATTGTGATACCTTTATCTTCTACATTTATTAGACAAACAAATTATCATATGGATTAATCATTCAAGAATAATTACTATAATTTAATAAAACTGCCAGCACCAAATAATTACAGGTGTACTTTACTTTTAGACCAGGTAGCAAAATTAGTTATGTGTAACAAATACCATTACATAATTAATCATGAAATTGTAGACATCTCTTTAAGACAAAGCAAATCATGTAAAAAAGAAATTTTATATTCACAAAATTTATTAAAATTAGCCCAGGAGCCTAGAGTCAAGGAAAAAAGGTAAAATGGGCTCTTTGATCTTTAAACTAGGTATATTTAATATTAGAGAGTACAACTGAATGAATAAATTCATCCTGACCAGTGCTTGGGGTTCTAACCTCTTTAAGTGTGAGAGAGAAGGAGGGAAAGAAGAGGCAGGTAGGGGTTGGGTTGGTGAGCCATTGGGCCGACACTGAATACTAAATGCAGCTAGGGCCACAACAGAGTTTCAGACCAAAACTAATTACACTCTTTAATTTTCTCCTCTTCAATAATTTTCTAAGGAAAAAAATATATACATACAAGGTTGTACTATGGAGACTAGTAACAGGAAGTTCTTTTCTTTGTTGAGAATGACTCTAAACCAACAAATACTCAAATGTTAAAACTGAAATGCAAATTTAAAGTCTTATGCCTTATAGACTTTTGAGTCTAATTAGGCTGTTTTGGGACTTTCTAGCTTTGTGTGATTAACAATAAAATAAACAATAATTGCCCTCTTTTCTGCATGTTTTCTTCAAACTCAAAAGGTACATTAAATTTCCCAAATACCTACCATTTCAACATCAGAAACAGGTCCAAAGCTGGTGACATATATGTCTGTTTTTACTTCTGTAACAGGACCTAGTAGGCATGAAGTAAGTGTGAAAAAATAATTACCAATTTTACAGGCAAGGTGGGTTCAATAATTAAAGAGTAAAGACAGTTATCATATATTATGTTTTTACAAGCATCCTTAATTTTCAGTGAGATAATGCATCTCTACAAAAAAAATGTAGACAAAAGAATAACAAAACCATAAAGACCAGGTAGCAAAAAGAACCTTTTACTTATAGGCAAAAAGAAAGAACCTGTTTCTTCAAACATACATCACCCTGAGGCACTGTTAACACAGGTAGTGCAGGGAACAAAAGCTTTTAGCCTTTGTAATTTTTTATAGTCTATCATCTGATTGGCCTTTACTAAGAAGTGAGCTGTTAAAAAGAGGGAACTTAGCCACAAGAGTGTGGAGGAGAAAAAGACATAATGGCTGTAAGGAATTTACCTTGGGAGAGTTGAGGATAATGGTAAGTAATGTAAGTGCAAAAATGATTCATGTCACCTTTAACAATAGGCAGACGGTCCACTGGTGATTGGGATCAAAGACAAGCCCAACTATTAGGCCTCTTCACGCTCTGCCATCTACTAGCTGAGTGATCTTGGGAAAGGTAGTTAACCTCTCAAAAGCAGCAACCAGACTTATCAGGCAAAATTGTTGATAGGGATGAAATAAAATTGCTCACATGTGACCCTGAACATAGTGACTCTCTCATGGAGTTACTTATTAAATATCAGTTTCTCTTTGCTTCTGATAATGGCCACTATTGAGATTCTTCCCTAGACCTGGTTCAGAAACAAATACATGGGTGTATTTGGCAGAAGAGAAAAGTGAGACCATCATGACAATGAGGTAGTTTTTAGACAAAGGAAAATTGAGACAATCTGGGTTTAGTGTGATGCTTGAAATCAGGAATTCTGGAGTTTAAATTTTGACCTAAAATTTTTTAATTGTATCATTTTGGTTAATCGTGTATCCTCTGAAGGTAAAGGTTTTAATGAGCATTAGCGGAAATAATATATGTAAATTACTTGTCCCAGTCTCTAGAATGTAATGTGCTCAACAATGGTGGTAGTTATTTTTATATATAAGATAGCTTTTTATTACTAATAAAATTTTTAAGCTGTTGCCTTCTTGAACATCATTTCCTTAAATGATGGTTTATAACACTGCATGGCCAGGGGCTAGATACTCCATACAGAAGAATTACATCAGCTATTAAAAGGGACTATTTCCCTTGGGTACTGACTGGGTAATTGGATTTATGCCAAAAAAGAGAAAAAGAGGTTGGTATAGCTTAATGCCCTAAGTCTAAAGTTATGCTCATAAAAATGAATCAGAATATCTCTCTCTATAAAGTGAAGATTGAGCCACAGAAAGAAAAACATCTCAACAGAGAATGAGAAAATTCTTTCTTGAATAAGAATCCTAAGAAAAATATGTCATTTGGAAGTATAGTGAAAGAAAAAGTACAGATCAGGCTGATCTGTCATGACTTTTCATTTTCAAGAAGTAACACTTTTGAAAAGCAGAGAAAAGAAGTGTGAGAAGTTAACTGAATTTTTATTTGAAGAAGCAGTTAAAAACAACAACAAAAAATATGGTAATAATAAGCTCACAAAAGCTAAATTGTTCCACGAACAGATAGGTAATCAAGGAAGCAGGTAATGTGTGTTGAACCTTAGAAGATCAGGATTTTACTCTAAGAGGTTCAAGAGTGGGATAGATCACCCTGCTATTTTCTTAGGGATAACTGCTAAAGTATTAAAAGTACTATGTCACAGCAAGTCAGGACAAGGAGAGAGGTTGCTTAAAACAATTAAGGTTGAGTATGTTCTAACAACTGATTGTTTGACAAGATTCTTAAGAAATCAAAAGTTACTTTGAAGATCAATTTAGGGGTGATTCTCAGACTTTAACTGGATCAGACTCACCCAGAAGGTTTGTTAAAAGATTGCTGTACCCACACCCTGCATCAACATGCTGATTCAGTAGGTGTAAGGCAGGGCCTGGCTGTTTGCAGCTCTAACAAGTTCCTAGTTGATGTCCCTCACTTTACTCTAGCTTACAGTGTTTATCTGTTTTCTAGAACAGTATTTACCAAAATACATCCTGTGAAATATCAGTACAATAGGCGTTCTATGGGAGTGGGAGAAATGTAGGAGAGAGAGAGGAATTAGGCCAATGAATGATATCTTTCTTTGTAAATTTATTTTAAGGTGTGTGGGTTTATACTAATTCTTATAATGATTCCACAATAATGGGTATTTTCACATTCTTACATAACATACTACTTTTCAATGATTTTTGAAAAATGTTGTTATGGTGAGAATTTCATAAAACCTAGGTATTTGTGACATTATTCAGTATATTCTTTACATGCTCATATGGATCTTTGAGGTGGAGAGAGACCCTAAAAATGTGATTGGTAAAGGGATTTCATTCGACACTCAACGAACATGTACTGAGTGAGCACCTGTTGCCTGCCAGGTCCCATGCTAGGCCCTGGTGCTACCCTGGTAAACAAGACTCGCCAAGTTCCCTGCCTCAGGGAGTTAAACTTGCTAATGGAGGAGTAGGAGTACAAATAATGAAGCAATAAATTAAATGGAAGAAAGCTATCATTCATTAAAGGAATAAACAGGCTGGAAATTGAGTGAGAGATTGGAAAAGCTACTCTAGATATTTTAGCCATTCTCTGAAGCAGTGACTTTTAAACTGAGACCAGAGGATGAGCATGAGCCACTGGAAGACTCAAGAGAACTGCAGTCCAGGCACAGAGACCTTCAGAGACAAAGCCCAGAGGCAGGAAAGACCTTCGTGTGTCCCTGGACTAGGAAAGAGGCCAGTGGGGCTGGAGCGAAGTGATGAAAGCAGAGAGTGATAAGACTAAAAGCCACATAGAAGGAAAACCAGGATCCAGACAGAGACCTATCCCTGAGCTTGTATTCTGAAAGTGACAGCGTTTAAGCAACACATTTATAGTATATGTTATGGTGACAAGTGTTAAATCTATGAGGGAAAGTACTGCTAGAAATCCCAATGACAGACAGGGTGACACATTTTGAACCTGAATTTTGTTCCTTCAAACTCATATGTTGAAATCCGAGCCCCCGGTATCTCAGAATGTGGCTGTATTTGGAATTAGGGTCTTTAAAAAAAGAGTTAAATACAATGAGGTCACTAGGGTGAGTGAGCCCTAATCCACTGTGATTATAAGGTGTCCTTATAAGAATCAGAGATTAGGAAACACACAAAAGAAAGGACGTGTAAAGATGCAGGGAGAAGACAGCTATCTCCAAGTCAAGCAAAGGCCTCAGAAGAAACCAAGCCTGCTGACACCTTGATACTGGATTTCTAGCCTCTAGAACTGTGAGAAAATCAGTTTGCCATTGTTTAAATGTCCTGTCTGTGGTACTCTGTTACGGAAGCTTTAGCAAATGAATACAGAGGCTAAACAATTTCCCATGTTTTTTCCCCAAGTTTTCTCCCTCTGAAACTCAGTACAGCCCTGCCTCTGCTTCTGTGCTAGATGTTTGATTTGGATCCCTCAGTCACTGTGAGGGCATCCACAGTTTGAAGTAAGGAAATTATATGATCTGAATTCTACTTTTTACAAAATCATTCTGGTGGTTGTATGGACAATAAATAATAGGGAGGTAGGAGTAGAAGAAGGGCTGTTACAAGAGGCTGCCGTACTAATCTAGTTGAGAAATGATGGTGGTCTGGCCTGGGGATGTAGCAGTGGGGATTGCGAGAGGGCAGAGCCAGGGGCATTCATTTGTGTAACTGATCACAGGCCATGGATTTTTTTCCAAAGAGCAAAGGGCAGAAATACCATAATTCTATTTATTGAAGGCCTACCATGTGCCAGGTAGGATACTAGTCTCTTTCCATACTATTTTATTTAATCCTCACAATGCCCTCCAAGGGTAATATTATTATGAGAATTTTATGGATGGGAAACTGAACTCACAGAGGTTAAATAATGTATGCCAGAGCCAGAAGTATAACTCCCTTGCATTCGTCTCTAAAATATGTTCCTGAATTACATCATTAAATAATAAATCAATAATTACATATATAACTTTCTTTCACTTTCATAACATGCCATACCTACTTTTCCTCTTCTGTTCATGAGTAGTTTCTGAACTATGTTCCTGCAACTCTTCCTATGCCTTTGCTTTTATTCTTATGACAGCCTGCTTGAGTTTGTCTCTCCTCCTTTAACAGCAAAAACAAAATCTTAGTCCTCCTTTAAGTTCCTAACTAGCACAGTGCTTTGCACATAAGAGGTGTTGAAAAACTTTGTGTTTGATTGTGTTCCTTGTATCATCCCAGCAGTGATTTAAAAACCCTTGAAAAGAAAAAATTATTGAGGTTCCTTTGTTACATCAGTAGCTAAAAATATTTCCCAATTAAAGCAGAAACAGTGTCTTATTTATATTTGTATCCTCTCCCAGAACTAATCCCAGGCCTTAAATGTAATAGGTTTCCAATAAATCAGTTTTCAATGAATAATGGTAACTATGCAATTAAGAATAATTCTTAGAGATTCTTCCTCTAATATTACTGTTTTGAGATGTTCAAATCAACCTTACTAAGAGCATAATTACATAGAAACCAGATAATTTTGAGCATGGAACTACTTTTTCTAATAACTTCATATGCATTTGTGTAACATCAAAAAGATGTTTTATTTTTAAAATCCTACTTCTTTGGTAATACAGAAATGTTTTTTAATCCCCAAAATATGGTGGGCTAATAAAGCGATCTTCAACAGTCCTTAAAAGAAAGAGCAAAGACCACCAAGATCAAATTAAGAGGAATACTCCCATCTTATTTATGAATCTAACTTGCTTGGAAAATAGAGAGATAAAATTAACAATGTATCAGATAATTTTTCACTGTTAACTTTATTAACTGCATAGGACTAGTCAAAGGATATCTCTATTTAATTTTTTCACTAATAGCAGTGTCCAATTTGCTGTCACACCAGGAGAAAAACCTAACCTGTTTTGCTAAT